CTTTCAAAAATAAATCTCGTATGAGATTGTTGTGCGATTTAAATAAGATAACATGCTACATGACTAAGCTCTCATTCAAGGACAGCTGTTATCAATCTCATTAAAGCGACGTTCCTTCTAAAGAAGCAGCTTTTGGCCCAGAATGCTTGCTCGGTGTGAAACAACCCGTTGTGCTTAGCAAGAGCGCAGACCGTCTCTTTAGCGACACGCGTCTCACAAAGACACAGGAGCAGTTCCCCTCCGTGCGCCATGCTCCGCTATGTCATCGTTCTATTTAATTTTCAGGAAGGTACGTCCTGTTCGGTCCACTCACCCTATCAATTAAACGCGAGGTTCCCTGGGGTGCGCCCTTGGCGTGCTCAAGGTCACACCGCGAGTGGCGGAGCTGGATTCGAAGGCAAAGGGAGACCTGCTTTTCAACTCCAGCTTCGGATTTCTACGGGGGCTGCTCACTTCAACAACAAATTCATTCCTCAGACACACGGACATGGAGAGTAAGGTTTCTCGTGAAGAAGCACAAGGGAACGGATCCATATTTGTAACTTATTTTTCTGGCAAAAGATGATTTTTAACTGAGTTACAGCAACAACAGTCACAGCATCAAGTGCTCATTACATGTTCCCAATCACGATAAAGCCGAATCACCGACACTGTCCAAGCCTGCCTGGCACCACCTGGAACCGTGTCACGGAACACCACGACACGCGTGCCCGCTGAAACACGGCGGCACGAAGTCAACCGAGCCATGACGGGCAGCGCGGGCACCGATCCAGCCTCTCTCTGTACCCGTCTTCCCAAGAGGAAAACGGGGATGAGACCCCAGTTTTAAGGTTAACATTTAGACCAGAGGGGATGTGTGCCCTGCACATACGCCCGCTCATATACATCTACCCTGATGCCACCCGCAGGCAGCAGCCGGGCGCCAGCCACACGGACGGCCGCTCACAGCAACACTCCCAGGGCAACGCTCCGGCCGCGGCTGGTCCCTCCTTTGTCCGTTCAGGTTGCAGCTTCGCTTTCTCACCATTGCCCCCTTCCTTCCTGTTTACTGCGGGGTCCCTGTGGAGAACTAAGGCATTCACAGGGTTACATGTACGCTGGGCCCTAATGGGTGCGTAATCCTGGGTGAGAAGGATGCGTTTGGTGACAGCTCACTGCTTAGATTTGCTGAGAGCTTCCTTCCAGTCCTCGTGCAGAAAACAGCCAAAACCCCAAACGACCAAGCCAGGTGAGAGGTCGCCGAAGAAAAATGTTACAAGGCCTGGTCACAGACTCTCAATCCAGGCCCAGCCTTTACCGCTTTTTAAAAAATATGTTTTTCAATTAATTTTAGAGAGAGGAGGGGAGAGGGAAAGAGAGAGAGAAACACAGATATGAGAGCGAAACACTGACTGGTTGCCGCCTGCACGCCCCCTACTGGGGCTGAGCCCAAAACGCGACATGTGTCCTGACTGGGAATTGAACCAGCGACCTGCAGGTGCACGAGAGAACGCCACCAACTGAGCCACACTGGCCTTTTAACGTGCAGAACAGCCAACCCTGATACACTGCCGCCGCGTCTTCCAATAGGTCGCTTTCCTGCATGCAGACGGCTGCATCTTACACAGAAGGTTACCGCTTCCAAAGTGAAATCCCCAGTATTTTCAGAGCTAGACGGGCCCGCTCTCAGGGAGGTCTCCCCGGCCGGGCCGGGCCTTGCGAAAGCTGCCACCAGCAGCGACCACGCGCTGGAGCCCAGGGCAGGAGCCCGCCCGTCGCTCTCGGCACCGGCGTTGAGGCACAGGGGGCGCCGCGGCTCCGGCCTCCGTCCCTGCCTGGCGGGCCGGGGGCTCTGGCCGCGTCTGTCGGGAAAGCCAGTGGCTTCACACTGAGACCCGTCTCCTCCCTGGGGCACGGCGTCTGGGGTCAGACAGAGCCTCGCTCCAGTGCCCTTCGGCTGTGACCCTGGAGACACCGCACCCTCAGCTCCCCAGCCAGGGGCGCCCGGCGGGCAGGGCCTCGATGCAAACACGAGATCCTCTACGAGGACACAGGCCGCCGGGCGCAGGGCTGGACAGGTTCTCCGGAACGGCAGCTCTTACTCCTAATTCCCTTCCTTCAGCCATTTGAAGTGTTTTCATGAAAATCACAGCGATTTTGGAGGACGAAAATGAAGTATGTACTTGAAAGTACGGTCAAACCACACAGTGCGGTGGGAAATTAGCTTGTCAGTGTGGCCCCGTCCAGACACTAATGCCCTTAGCACACGCTCATCCCGGGTGTGTGTGTGGGGGGGGGGGGGGTGGGGGGGGTTGTTAGCATGTGTGTGAAACCCTTTTGTTCCACTCTATGGTCACCAGAGGAATCAAATATCTCCACGGAGAACTTACACTCTTCAGAAGCACAAACCAAAATACCGTGATTTTTTTAAAATAAAAATTGTACGTAAGTGTAAACACGATTCGATTTACAGACAGAGTGACGTGGTTATTGTGTTTAAGTGGGAACGTAATGACTTGATATACAGAGCCGAGCTCATCCACATGCCTTCTCCCTCCGTTCCCTTCTCCGAGTGATGAGCGCCCCTGAATCCCGCTCTCTGAGCCATCTCCAGCCTTCAGCGCAGCGCTGTATGAACCAGAGCCGCCACCCTGTGAACGGCGATTGTCATCAGGGTGACAAATAAGACAGCAGAGGAAAATTAATTCCACTCGGCTTAGAGTGAAATGAATACCTTTCCAAAGGGCTTGCTGGGGAAGAAAGTATGACTTCTGTGAGGGCTCGGGGCCCGGTGGCTTGGGTCTGTGAGGGCGAAGGTCGTTTCTACCTGCACGTCCCCACGCAGAGACGACCTCCACCTGCCTGGCAGGGGCTGTGGCCTTGCCTGTCTCATTCAACCTTCAGGCCGCCCTCGAGCACAGAACTAAGTCCCACTGCCCATAAGCTGGGGCGTGCACAGGCGAAGCCACTGCCCAAGGTCACCCCCACAGTCAGCGTTAAAGTGGGATCAAAGCGCAGGTCTGCAGACTCCCCACCTCTATGGCGCGGGTCCACAGCTTTTTTTGGGTACAAGTACAAGTTCATTTGGACACAGAGGTAGGAGAAGTGAGCCGTGGAGAAGTGAGCCAACTGGGCTGCATGGGCGCAGGACCCAGGTTACAGCGGCAGAAGCAGGGCCCCCGGAGCTCGGGAGAGAAAGCAAGTCTAGTGTAGGCCTGGGGGAGGGGGAGGGGGAAGGGCAGGAAAGGCGCAGGTGTGCTCCAGAGAGAGCCTCCGCCCCACGCGTGTCTGGCCTCAGACAGAAGGCTGTGGGTGAGCTGGAAACTGTCTCTGTGCATGTGTGACATGTGTCCTATAACACTAACAAGTTATATCTCATACACAGAACAGAACATTTAAAAGGCTGAGTAGGAGCTGACGCTCCCTAATTCTTTCTGTATCTAAGTGAGTTGACCTACTGGCCTGAGGGCTTAATTATATACCCTGTGTCCCCTTTCTTCCTCGATACAGCCCCACACCCTCCATAAAGCTGCTGAGCCTTCAGTGAGATATCTGTGTAAGCTCTGATCCAGAAGACACCGGTGCCAGCCAGCACGGAGTGTGCTAACGACCTCAAGGACACAGACACCGTGCACCAGGCTGCCACTAAATGAACCTATTTTTTAAATTAATATATTTCTATTGATTTCAGAGAGTAAGGGAGAGGGAGAGAGAGACATCGATGAGAGAGAATCATTGATCGGCTGCCTCCTGCCCACCCCGCACTGGGGATGGAACCCGCAACCCGGGCATGTGCCTCGACAGGGAATCAAACCGTGACCTCCTGGTTCATAGGTCGATGCTCAACCACTGAGCCACGCCAGCTGGGTGAGGCTTCCACTAAATAGAAGGACCAGCTGACAAAGTCTGAAGGCTACTTAACTCTTACAAATTATATAAGAAGAAGACTTGGCAAGAGCAAGAAGAAAATACACTTTTAAATCACCTTCAGCCTCGGGATCAGGATGAACAAGTGCAACCTTGCCTGGTAACCCATCTGAGCTCGAAAGGGAATTTATGCTCCATCAGAATGACCACACGGTCCCTAGGGTTAATGCTTCACAGCGCCAATGTTTTCTTCTGTGTTTGTCTGCCTTTATTCTCCACTTAGAATTTCAAATATAAAGCGAGAGGTCTCTAGGCATTTAGGAAAACATTCTGAACAGAATAAACACTGATTTCAAATATCAATGAACAACCAGGTATACCATCAGAAGAGGAAATTTTAAAGCTTTTTCTTGCCTCCAATAACATGTATTTCTGAATAAACACTTCTTCAGAAAACGAATGGGAACCCACTCATTATTACCAGAAACCTTAGATTCTTAGAGACCGGAAGGCGTCTGCTGCGAAATGGAAAGGTTCCGTGAATACAAACCAAACCTCGTGCTCCCTCCCCAGGCACGGACAGTGCAGGGTGCAGACATGTTTCTCATGTGATCTGGGGCCTCAGGACTTGAGTAACCAGACTCCACAGGCACTGTTCCCCCTCAGAATATGCTAAGCGGTTAAATTCTCAGAGCGAATAAAATTTCAATTTTTATCTCCCAAGCCGCATTGCCTTTTTTAAAAAAATATTTTTTTATTGACTTCAGAGAGGAAGGGAGAGGGAGAGGGAGATAGGAACATCAATGATGAAAGAGAATCATCAATCAGCTGCCTCCTGCATGCCCCATCCTGGGGATAGAGCCCCCAACCTGGACGTATGTCCTGACCGGGAATCGAACCCTGACCTCCTGGTTCATAGGTCAACACCCAACCACTGAGCCACACCAACTGGGCCCAAACTACATTGCTTTAAAGCTACAGTAAGTTGCAGAAGAGGTAGACATGCTGGTTGGTAGACAGACAGTGATTCTGCACTTAAACCATGCAGAGCAGCCGAGTCAGACTACCCTCCCGGGACGGCCATCCCCATCCTTCCCCCAGAGCAGACACGGGGAGGGCAGTGTCGGTGACGGGGTCCCAGAGGCGGCTCTTACCTCTGGGCCGGGGCGCTATAGCTGTTATCGTAGGAATCGTAGTTCTGCTCGTCATACGCAGTGCCATAGCCATCGTCATAGTCCTGAAACAGACGGGAGGAGGACAGGCGGTCAGAGGGTGTCTGGGAAGAGCGAGGCATTCTGCCTGCAGTGCGTCTTCCTTCGTCCAGCCAGCATTTAGCAATCTATCTACTTAGAGCGTAAAGAAAAATGTAACAGGACATCAGTGGAGATGATGTGGAAAAACCTCCAAAAGCAAAAAGCAAAACCAAGAGAAACTGGCAAAAATGGTCAGAATCCATATTTGCACACCCATGGGAATTAGCCGAAGGCTTGCAGAGATCTAGGGAGCATAATATATATTTTTTAAAAGGCTCAATCTTGGGTATGAACAGTGAGCTTTGTCATATTTTAACTTCTCCTCTCCTCACGCCTCACTCCTAGCTCTGTGGGGACCTTAACATCCAACAGCCACAATCACTATGGAAACCAGGAGGCTGGAGGCCAATGGAGGGGGCACGGCAGGGTGGGGCTGTATCAGAGCCCCATTCTCAGAGGGATGCCTTTATGTGACATGACTTGGAGCTCATCCCATGAAAATGCCCTTTTCTCCGGGGGGGTGTTTGAAGAAAATTAATCAGAGGCAATTATTTAAGGTTTCTGCTGCCTGTGGTGGTGGAGAAAAACTGGAGCAAACAATAGGCGAACAGGAAACAGTCGGGAACAGGTGTCGACATGGGCTCTGAGCTCTGATCTGTTTCTGGGCGTCTAGATGACGATGTGCATGCAGACCCGGAGCTTTCTCCTCGGGCTGACCTTGAGGTTCAGTACGGGAAGGAAAGGCGAAGCCAAGGCAGAGTTAGTTGGAAGTTGGCTGGGTGGGTGTGGAAGACATGCTCCAACAGGCACCCAGGCTCGTGGCAAACACGAGGGACTCAGCTGCCAGGCATTCGGCAAAGTATCTGTCCAGTCATTGGGTGGTCATGAAGGTAACACAGGGGAGACACTCCAGTGGCAACACATGATATATATAGACTTGATAATATTTGGAAAAGTCACTAAACCAAAATATAAAGAAATTCCGAGGAAGGAGGAGAATTTGATTTCCACAGTTGACACATTACATGTCCAGTTTTAAATTTAAAAAAATATGTGATGGTGCAAAGGAAATTTAAGTATCATCCATACACAAGAAAATAAACAATAGCAACTGTCCTTGAGAAAGTTGACATTGGAATTACTAGGGAAAGACTTTAAATCTGTACTTTGAAATATATTCAAGGAACTAAAGGATAACCTGTGTCTAAAGAGCTAAAGAAATATGAGAACAATGCCTCTCCAAAGAGAAAATATTAATATAAATACAGAACATAGTTTTTGAAAATCTGAAGAAATTATTGAAATGAAAAGCGCAATAACTAACACTAAAATTTCACCAGAGGGGTTCGACAGCAGATAAGACTAGACTGAAGAAAGAATCAGTGAACCTAAGGATAGATTAACTGAGATCGTCCAGTCTGAGGAAGAACTAAAAACAAGAGAATGAAGAACATAAAGTGTCTCAGAGACCTGTGTAATGAGATACCCAGAAGGGGAGGAGAGAAAAGAGCAGAAAGATTATTTGAAGAAATGGCTTAAAATTTCCCAAATTTGATTTTTTTTAAAAAATCTTTAATCTGTACATCCCAGAGTCTCCACAAATTCCAAGTAGGATAAATTCAAAAAGGCCCACACCTAGAATATTATCTTCAACATATTGAAAGACAAAGAGAGAAAGTCAGTGAGAGAGAAGCCACTTTTCATCATGTGCAAGCGATCTACAATAAGATCAAAAGCTGGTTTCTCAAGAGAAACCATGGAGGCCGTAAGACAACGAGATTCTATTGCCAAGTACCAAATAAAAAGACTGTCAGCTAAGAATTTTACATCCAGCAAAACTAGCCTGCAAAAAAAATGAAAAAAAGTACGATATTTCCAGGTAAACAAAAACTGAGAGACTGCATCGACAGGAGATATGCTCTATAAGAAATACAAAAAGGAGTGCTTCGGTCAGTGAAAGGTCGTTAGGCAGTATTTTGAATCCAGATAAAAAATTAACATTGGTAGCTACTCAGGTAAATATAAAAGACAGAAGAAATATGTTTTCTGTTGTCACTTTCCCCCCTATTTTATTTAAAAGACAACTGCATGAAGAAATCATCAGAAATCTGTGCCGATGAGCACACAGTGAAGGAGGCTATAATTTGTACGAGAGTAACAACACAACGGTGCGGTGAGAATGGACCCGCAGAGAAGAAAAAAATTTGTGTACTTTTGCAATTAAGTTGGTATAAATTTGGAAAAGACTAATATAAGTTAATGTATAAATTTCAATCTCTAGGACAAAATAAGAAAACAATTTAAAATATTTTTAAAAAGCTAGAAAAATAAATGACAATGAGTTAAAATGGTACCAAAAAAAAAATCTATTTGGCACAAAAGGGGGCAGTAAGATACAAAAAGATGTTAGAAAACAAGTAGCAAAATGGCAGATGTAAATCCTACCTGATCAGTAACCACAATAAATATAAATGGACTGAATGCATCAATTTAAAGGCAGAAATTGGCATCTTGTTAAAAAACATAATCTAACCACGTGCTGTCTACAAGATACACATTAGATTCAAAGGTAAAAATACACTGAAAGAATAAGGATGGAAAAAGACATGCCATAGAAATACCAATCAAAAGAGAACTACCATAGCCATCCTAACATCAGACAAAATCGATTTCAGGCTGGCTCAGTCACGTATCGGACTCTGTTTCTTTACCTGTGAAATGTAAATCCTGGTACACGTTTTTCTAAATATATTTTTAATGATTCAGAGAGGAAGGGAGAGGGAGAGAGATAGAAACATTAATGGTGAGAGAGAATCATTGACCGGCTGCCTCCTGCACGCCCCACACTGGGGATTGAGCTGCAGCCTGGGTCTGTGCCCTGACCGGGAATCGAACTGTGACCTCCTGGTTCATGAGTAGACACTCAATCACTGAGCACACTGGCTGGGCTACCGGAAGTCTTGATGATAGATCTTAGTTTCAAAAGCTGAGTAAAGCAAAAGGTGCCAGGAAAACTCATTAAAAATAAAAGCTAGGCAGAAAGAACAGCAGGTGCAAAACGACAGAGCACCCGCATGTGAGCGCCCTGCCCGCCCAGGGGAGCGAACGGCTTGTTGGGGTACATTGGAGGGCACACACGGGAGAGGGGGGCAATGGCCCTGAGAACCCACAGCCACGCCTGAGTGATCCCGGTAAGGAGCGTGGGGTGGGGTTTGAGTGGCAGGACTCATGCTGCGTTTCAGGAAGAGTCCGGGAACACGAGTGGGAATCCGGAGGCCGGGCACGCAGCCGCGTCACTGCGCTGCGCCGTTTTGGCAAAACGCGGAGCCAGTGGTTCCTGCGGTGTGGCGCTAGCAGCTCGAAAAGAACGTGCCTTTGCCAAGGGAAGGCTTCTCTTTCTGTGCTCATTTAAAGACTCAAAATTATAAACGACTGGAACCTTCTTAAATCACCAAAATGTCCAGTGCTACACTGTTTAACCCCAGTTATGTCATCCATCCCTTATTCAAGGACTCCGTCCGACACCACAATGAGAGCGACTTATTTGAATTTTCAAACTGGTTAGGTCACTGGATTATTGACTCCTTGTTTTCACATGGGAGGTTGTAGAAGATACATTTGCAATTCTCAGATTTCTCTCATGACGACTGATTTCCTCGTTGGAGTTGACCAGGGGGTGCACCCCCGCCATCCGCAGCGTTAGGTGTTCAATGGACAACACAGGGAAACACAGGGGAGCAGATAAAAGACTGTGGACAGGAGGAGAGGAGGAAACGCTGCGTGCGTGGCTGCAAACAAAGGCCTAGTTTCTAGGAGGAAAGAGAAGTTCTTGTTGATCGTCTGCTATTTTACTGCAAGATTGGAGGTGAGGTCAGCGGTTGGTAACAATGGGGGCCTTTCACCAGCAAGGGGTTCAGCAGAAAGTTAGGGGGAGAAAGGGAGGGTGGCTGCCGGGACCCGGTCCATCCTTGCTGTTTCAAGGGACCTGGCATATATGGCATACTGTTCTTAATATGTTTGCTCACCTTCTTGGCACTATGTGTTTTAACCAAGGTCACCTCTCTGAGAAAGGTTGTTTCCCCAGGTAGGGATTTTCCCCTGAAGTTAGGGAGGGAATAAAACCCCTTAACTAAGTGCCAGGCGGGTAATTAATCACTTTAACTAAGAACAATCATGCTTAAGCTACATAATCTTTACTCCCTGGAATGGAGATAAGAAACGCCCTAACCTTTGGAATAGAGATTGATAGGACTGAATCAACTGGTATAAATACAGATGTAACAAGACAACAGGACACAGAACCTAGACACAGAACCTACACAGAACCTAAACACAGAACCTAGAGACAGAAGAACTTTGCTGGAGAGAACATGGCAAAAGATCCTGGACAGAAACTGGCCACAGAACCTGGAGACAGAACCTAGCGAGAGAACCTGGCTGAAGATCCTAGAGACAGAACCTGGCTACAGAACCTGGATAGAACATGGCAAGAGAACCTGACTAGAACCTGGTGACTGAACCTGGCTGGAGAACCTGGAGAACCTGGAGAACCTGGCTGGAGAACCTAGCAAGAGAACATGGACACAGAACCTGGCTGGAGATCCTAACCAGAACTTCGCTGGAGATCCTGACCAGAACTTGGGTAGAGATCCTGGCTAGGCTGCTGATCAACTGAACGCTGTCTCCGTGTCGTTCCTTCTTCGCCAACTCTGTCCACACCTTTGGGGACCCCTGGACCTGCTGGGGTAAGCTGGGTCCGAGCCTCTGAACATCAGGGGTCCTTGAGGACTTGGGGGCTAAGGACTAGCACCCCCTCTTTTTTTCCCAATGCTCTTACCTTCCAGTGTTCCCAACTACTGCTTCTTTGTTTTTCTTATTTTTTTAATTTGAAATTATGAAATTCCTCTTTAGATTTTTCTGAGGCTACATTAGAAAAAAAATTTTTTAGTATGTTTTATTGATTTTTAGAAAGAGGAAGGGAGAG